AAAAACACTCCAGAGACATCTTAAGACTCTTATGGGAACACTCGGCTTCTGCTGTCTTTCTCTCTCTCTCTCTCAAAAATAAAAAATAACCATATATCAGAATACATACACTCACTGGCCACTTTATTGGGTACACCCTGCTAGTAATAGTTTGGTCTCCTTTTTGCCTTCAGAACTGCCTCAATCCTTCATGGCACAGATTCAGTAGATTTAACAAGGTACTGGAAACCTTCATCAGAGACTTTGGTTCATATTGACATGATATCATCACGCAGTTGCTGCAGTTCTGTCGGCTGCACATCCTTGATGCAAATCTCCCGTTCCACCACATCCCAAAGGTGCTCTGTTGGATTGAGATCTGGTGGCTGTGAAGGCTATTTGAGTACAGTGAACTCATTGACATGTTCAAGAAACCAGTCTGAGATGATTGGAGCTTTAGGACATGGTGCACTATCCTGCTGGAAGTAGAAGATGGGTACACTGTAGTCATGAAGGGATGGACATGGTCAGCAACAAAACTCAGGTAGGCTGTGGTGTTGCAACGATGATCAACTATTTCTAAGGGGCCCACAGTGTGCCAAGAAAATGTCCCCCACAGCATTACACCACCGCCACCACCAGCCTGAACCGTTGATACAATGCAGGATGGATCCATGCTTTCATGTTGATGCCAAATTCTGAACCTACCTTCCGAATGTCGCACCAGAAATCGAGACTCATCAGACAAGGCAACATTTTTCCAACCCTCCATTGTCCAATTTCGATGAGCCTGTTGGCATTGCAGCCTCAGTTTCCTGTTGTTAGCTGACAGGAGTGTGGTCTTCCGCTCCTGTAGCCCACCTGCCTCAAGGTTTGACCAGTGGCGTGTCCAGATCTTTTAAAATGGGGTGGCCCAGGTGAGGCACAGCTTTGTGCATGGGTGGCACCAATGGTTATGCTTTATTTTTGTTTTACCCCCAAGTCTTGTGTGGACAATGAAACGCCTATTTAAAATTGAATTAGTGTGGTGGCACCTGGGGTGGCAAATCAGATTCCAAGGGTGGCATGTGCTACCCCAGGCCACTCCCTGGACACGCCCCTGGGTTTGACATGTTGTTTGTTCAGAGATGCTCCTCTGCATACCTTAGTTGTAATGAGTGGTTATTTGAGTTTCAGCTCGAACCAGTCTGGTCATTCTCCTCTGGCCTCTGGTATCAACAAGGCTTTTTTGCCAACAGAACTGCCGCTCACTGGATGTTTTCCCTTTTTAGGACCATTCCCTTTAAACGCTAGAGATGGTTGTACGTGACAATCCCAGATCTTTCTGAGATACTCACACCAGTCCATCTAGCACCAACAACGATGCCACGTTCAAAGGTCCTGTCCACACGTAGCCGGGGATCTGCCAAAACGTAGATATTTTTCTACGTTTTGGCCTGTCATCCACACGAAAACAGAGTTTTTTCACACGAAAACGGATCTTTTTAAAAACTCCGGCCAAAGTGAAGATCTGCGTTTTCTCCGTTTTGGGTGTCTGCGTGTGGACAGACAAAACCGGAGTTTGAAGGTCCGCAACGTCACTTTCCGCGACAAAAAAATGCTGACATCACGTGTGCGACCTGTGTTTACACTAGCCGACAGCATGATGCCCTCAGAGCTGCGCTCGCTTTATCAATTGTCCAAGCGCTTTGTGCTTGTTTGTTTTTGCAAGCGGAATTACTGCTCCTTGCGGAAGACCACAGACGAAGGACGAGGTTAAGAACGGGGGAAGTACTGCCGCCTACAGGTCTGGCATGTCCTTAACAACGTATTTATCCGGGTACGTGTGGACAGAGTTTTTTTTAAACGAGGTGGTGTGGATGCAAGTTTTTGGAGGGGCGGATATTCGTTTAAAAAAAAACGGCTACGTGTGGACTAGGCCAAAGCCACTTAAATCACCTTTCTTCTCCCTTCTCAAGTTCGGTCTGAACTGCGATGGATCGTCTCGACCATGTCGACATGCCTGAATAAATTGAGTTGCCCCCATGTGATTGGCTGATTAGTAATTTGAGTTAACGAGACTTGAGACAGGTGTGCCCAATAAAGTGGTCAGTGAGTGTATATCTACCGGGAACAAAAAGAGTACGCGTCTTTATAAGATTTGGTTTAACTATGACGATTTTCACTCAAGATTTTATTTACCCGACCAGAAGTTGCCCCTAATCAGATGTCTTCTTTGTATGAGTGATCGAATCACTTTCCTCTGCAACATCGAGACGGTGTCCACCTTGCTGACAGTTTAGGTCTATTGTTTATAATGGATAATGATATTACCTAGAGCTGCACAATGTTAAATTTGAGCATCAACAGTCACATCACAGGTCCCGCTTTGGTGTTGGACGCAAATGAAGTCCACTTGTGCTCAGCTAATGTTAAGGGTAACTGACAACGCAGCAATCCGTTAATCACAACCATTCATATTCAGTTTGAGGAAGCAGAATTGTGTTTTATCATAGTTTTCTGAATTTCATTGACTGTTTAATGCATCAATCAACAATGTCTCGATTAGTTTGAGCTACACACGTGAGAGTAGGAGGCGGCACTTTTGAGCTATCGCCCGATAGCTGAAGATTTAGCCTAAGCAGGGAGGGGGACCCCTCACCTTTAGGATTTGGTAAGATGTCAAACAAAAGTTTGTAGCTAACATGAGGATGCTAACGAAGGTTATGATGAAAGGTTTGTAAGAACGTGAGTCGTTTAAAGGAAATTTCTGTGGTTTTCAGCGGAGTGTTATGTCAGATTATGAATGTGTAATGAACTCTTTTAATTAAAGTACATTGATGGGAACATTGTGGATGTAAGAAGACACTTTTTGTTTGTGATGAGTCTGTTCTGTCAGTGATATGAGGCTTCAAACAGTCAGTTGGGTATTTTTGAGTGCTTTGACAGAAGTGTTTACTAGTTATGATTGCCTGTAGTGTCATTTACTGCCCACGATACGTAAAACACCAACGGTTGAATTTTCAACAAGATGGAATGCACAAAAAATTAAAGTGCTTTTCTAGTCATCTGTTGAACATTTCTGTATTTTTTATTACTGCAAAAATTCACAATGCAAATTTTTCCCAATATTAGCAGTCTTAGCAGTTAGCTTGATGCTCTGGTCAAAATGAATCTCTATACCTCCAAACTGAGGTTGTTCATGGAACTATTCACCACAAGTAAGATACCAATTGCTTGTAACCTTTTCACAGAACCATGCATCAAAAGATCTGAACTAAACATCTAATGATATATATATATATATATATATATATATATATATATATCCATCCATTGTCAGCCGCTTATCCAGGGTCAGGTTGTGGGGGCAGCAGCCTAAGCCGGGACGCCCAGACTTCCCTCTCCCCAGCTACTTGGGCCAGCTCTTCTGAGGGAATCCCAAGGCGTTCCCTGGGAAGTCGAGAGACATAGTCCCTCCAGCATGTCCTGGGTCTTCCCTTGAGTCTCCTCCTGGTTGGACGTGCCCGGAAAACCTCACCAGGGAGGCGTCCAGGAGGCATCCTGACCAGATGCCCGAGCCACCTCAACTGACTCCTCTCGATGTGGAGTAGCAGCAGGTCTACTCTGAGCCCCTCCCGAATGACCAAGCTTCTCACCCTATGGAGAGCCCAGACACCCTGCGGAAAAAACTCATTTCGGCCAATTGTATCCGCGATCTCGTTCTTTCGGTCACTACCCAAAGCTTGTGACCATAGGTGAGGGTAGGAACGTAGATCGACCGGTAAATCGAGAGCTTTGCCTTCCGACTCAGCTCTCTCTTCACCGCAACAGACCGGTACAACGCCCGCATCACTGCAGACGCAGCACCAATGCACCTATCGATCTCAGCACTCCAGTTTTACTTCACTCGTGAACAAGACCCAAATATACTTAAACTCCTCCACTTGAGGCTGGACCTCGTCCCTGATCTGAAGCAGGCATTCTACCCTTTTCCTACTTAAGACCATGGTCTCGGATTTAGAGGAGCCGATTCTCTTCCCAGCCGCTTCACACTCATAATAATATACTTGTTACATTTCTTGACACAAAGTGTGCTGCTACAGAGCAAAGAGAAAGCTTCTTATGTCCAGTCCAAGCAATGGAGCAAGCAAAACTAAGATTTATTTATTTATTTTTAAACAGCAGCAGCTGTTGAAAACAGGCCAGTGTGGAGACGTGTTTCTGGGCATCACACGGTGGCGTTCAAGGTTGTAATAGAAAATGATGGGAGTGTTGTTAAGATGATGCGTTCTGGTTCTAAGTGCCTCAAAACCTTCAATATTTTTAAGTCTTTTTCTATTTTTATTTTTTTAGAAACCACCATAACAATCATGTTATTGCAAAAGAAGATGGAAATGAAACATGCAAACAGATTTTACAGCCAGAAATATCTATTTTAACTTCTGTATATCTTCACACAATCGATTAACATTGAAGTAGATGTTAATGATGGGCTAATTGGGGGGGGGGGGGGGGGGGGGGATTTCTGCCTTTTGTGCTTTTTTATTTTGTTTGTTTTATGTGAAAGAAAATTCCTTGGAGATGGCAGGTTGTAGTTTATTGCTCCCTCTGGTCAGAACCAATAAACACCAAACTCAGAGGGACAACGGCTGGGGAACAATGATAGCATATTGATGATTTGTGTGTGTGTGAGTGTGTGTGTTTATGAGCCAAAGCCATCAACACAGATACTTTGTCTATGTGTTGATTGCTGACCGTGTGTGCATGGATGTGTGTATTTACACTACAGCTGTGGCGTGTTTGTGTTGGCAGCCATTATTTAGGGGGTGGATGATTTATGATCCGGGTTATGGCTTCCACAGGGGACATATAAAACTACAGAATAGTCCTTTATTGCCTTTCTCCTTTGTTTAGCTCTATGTATCATCCATCACTTCGTTCCTCCCTTTCACTGCCTTCTTTCGCTCCATCAGCCATCTCGATCACAGTTTCCATCTCTGTGCCTCTGCATCTCCCCTCTAATTCGCTCCGGTTCTCGTCTAATACGAACTGCTATTGATAATCTGTCTGCTGCACATCAGCGGAATCACCATTATTTCATCTGGCTGTTTGCGCCATGGCTGTAGCTTTATCTGTACTGCTTCCCGCAGGACAAACTCAGACACTGAGATTGGTGCGGGTGATGTGCAAGCCTGGACCCAGGTGCATTTTTGGGACATCTGATTGGCTCTTTGGTCCACAAACAGCCAAGGGTCTTAATGAAAACTGAATTCCACCGTGTGAGTTTCACATCAGCTCGACTCTGGAACAAAAACACAAAAACTAAAGGTTCAACATCAAAAACCCTCGTTTTCCAACAATAATCCGACTTTTGGGTCTGATGGGGCAGGATGAAAGCTAATTATGAAAATCAGCTTCTCAATGAGACAAATCCACTTTAAATAATGACTACGTGTCGGTTTTCTCAGCAGCATTGGTAAACTTTGATTCTCCATCAACCACATGCTTGTGACAGGAAGTGATGGGATATTGACGCCTTTCAAAAGACACTTTTGCAACATGGTAGCAAATAAAATCAAATAAATCACCATTTGCATCTAAAGGATGCATGGAGTGGAGCTCAGCACGGTTGCATAAAATGAATGATGGATGCCTCTCACTATTAAACACTAGTCATCGAGATGAAGAGCCGTGGGAACAATAAAGCTAAGGGTACCTGGAAATGAGATTTAGCCTTTATTCCAAAGTTTCTCAAGACCTTTTTCACACTGATCAGCTCTAAACTTTAAACCTAATTTGCTCTTAAACAGCTCTACTGTAAAAGCATGATAAAGAACCTCTTGGGGTGTCAGGCGGATGAAAAACTGGGAGGCTGTCAGTGATTAATTTAGGTTACCAGGTCTGATTCCCTCCATGGATCAAGCTTGTTCCACCACATCCATCAAATGTCTGATTGGATTAGATTCTGTAGAGTCTGAAAGCCAGGGCAGAGTCTCCGGCTTGTTGTTGCCATACTCGAGGGGTTCGTGCATAATACTTGGATGGATCCTGTTATTCTGCTGGAGGTTTGCTTCTGCTGCCGCTGATGTTGTCACCATGGACGTAATTTTCACTTTAGAAGTTTGTGTGTGTGTGTGGGGATGGGGGGGGGGGGGGGGGGGGGGGGGGGGGCTTGGTCCTAGAGCTCAACCAGTGTCAATTTAATATAGCGTAATATTGTTTTTGGATGGTAAAAAGTGCAGGGGTCAAAACTTGACTTTGGAAAAAGTGGGGGGGACATGTCCCCCCTGCCCCCCCCCCCCCCAAATTACGTCCATGGTTGTCGCAGAGGTAAGCTTGGTCTTTGTGCATGAGCTTTTTCAAAATAAGACCTTGAATATTACATCAAGAGAACCAGTGTTCTTCTCTTTTACTGATGTGGATGACGGTGGACGCATTTAAACAAGGCAATGGTGGATGGAAACAAACAGGATGTAAATATACTTACATATACATGGGCTGTAGCTGAAGGTGGGAAGTCTTTTGAGGGCCTTGGTAACCATAGGAGTCAAATCCACCTATAAAGTCAACTGCACACAAACATACAGGCACGAACAGACACACACACACACACACACACACACACACACACACACACACACACACACACACACACACACACACACACACACACACACACACACACACACACACACACACACACACACACACACACAAACACAGTTAATTAGTGGAAGCCTGTATTGATGCTAACATTTGGGAACTTCCCACCACGGATGAATCACTGCATTAGTCTTCTCCCACCTACAGAAGCCTTACTGGTACATCCTGTTCCTGAGCCACCACCTCTACTGCTTCTCTTGCTGCTAATCAGAGTTGAAGCATAAAACCGCTTCCAGTGAAAGTTTCTGCTCAGTTGTATTAAAACAAACGTGTGATGCAAATCTAAATCTATTTTTAGGAGTGAGACCAAGAATTATCCCGCAGTACATTAATGCTTAGGAAGGGAACACACGGCTTCTTCCTGATGTAAGAGGTGAGTCTCCTCCTTGTTTTGGCATCGACATCATGCTAGCGCGCAACGTTCTGTGACTCTTAAAAAAACAGTAAAAACAGTGAGAAATGCTGGCAGCGAAGGCCGTTAGCGATCAGGAAACGGCTGGCAGTGAATGAGTTAAGCAAGTAGGTTTAGAGGAACCCATCAACAAATTATGGTTACTTAAATTCAATGTTTTATTTTTTAGAGTGTAGTCACACACCATGTGTTTGTTATGCATGCCACTGTTACTCTGCCACTTGTCTCCACCATAGACTGTACATACTGGACAAAACGATTCCATAGGCTCCAATAACACGTTTTTTGTCTATAATGGGAGGTGGCCACCACCGCCATTTTGACCGTGTCACAGGCTCCGTCCAGCCCAGACAATTCCATAAAAGGGAAGAGGTGTGGAGCTGAGGGTGGGGCTGTAAGGCTGGGATCGAGTGACGACACCCAGGCGAACTAGCTACGAGCTAACCTGAAGCTAACCCTGGCTAACCCAAAGCTAACGCGGAGGTGGGAGCCGGGCTAACGGATCCACCCAGATCTCTGATAGTCTGCTGCACCTCTATTGGTTTTGTGCACGCTCAAAAGAAAATCAAGGCCCTATCATGGTCAGTCAAGTGTTATGAGGAACCTATGAAGCCTGAAGACTTTGCAAAAACCATTCAAGTTCTGGTTGATTTCTTCATGCATGGAGCAATAGTCATCCGGTGTGAGCGGGGCCTTGAGACACATTCCTTGGGACAGCAAAACACTCATAAGAAAGATGGTGGGACATGTTTCAGGACAACGTTATGACAAAAGAATATTCAGCTGAATTTGGCTCTTCACGCCGACGCCGCCGAACCTCTCTCATGCTGGCTATGTTCCTTCTCTTTCTGGAGCCTTTATGTAGGAGAGTGTTTCATTGTAGACAGTGAAGCTTGGTTTATGCTTGACGCATTCACTTTCCGCGAGGTGATGCGGCTCGCGGATGGAACGCGCTTCACAACTCGCAGCGTTTATGGTTTGTGCGGCTCGTCTCTGCGGTGAGCCAATATTCTCCCAAACTGTAGGGGGCAGCATGGAGCTCTACAGCATGCATCCAACACTACACCGTAGTAGAAGTAGAAATTACTGTTGTTTACAACATGGCATTTCAGCATTTTAACAGCGTCCTCGTCTTTTCCGACAGTGCGAGTTATTTCTCTCCAAGAATTATTAACATGTTGATCACGGTGATCTCTGAGAGCTGAATCATACAAATGTCTGTATTTACGAACCTCTGCCATACTAGTTCTTGCCAGTCCGCCATGGTTTTCCGCGTCCGTCCGTCCGGTTAGAAATTTTCCGAGGTGCGCGTTGCGGAAATCTTGGGCCGTGCGGAGACGCGGTGGAGGGGCGTGGTTGTTAAAATGATGCAAAATGACGCAACTTTGCCGCGCAGAGCCGTGCCGACCTCGCGGACGAGTCAAGCATGAACCAACTTTAATGGGCTCGACACACGGGAGGCGACAAACGGCCGCGATCAGCGAAATTTGTCGCTGTCGCTTTTATTACCTGACACACGGGAGGCGACCCGTGCCAGCGGCAGAGCCGTCTACGCGTTCTGTTCCATGGTGAAATCGAAACTTCCGTTGTTTTGTTTGGCTGTGTCAGGTTGGAGGGAATTAAGGTTATTTAAGTGGTTCAGAGTTAATAAAGTGGTAGATATGATGTTTCACAAGGTGCTGCTAGAGTTATGTGAAATCTTACTTCTGATTTTACTATAAAACATAATAATAATCAACTCTCCTCCATGTTTGCTCGGAGGTGTACGGAGCATCCTGTCCGCTCATTGGTCAGTGAATGAAACCTCCGTTGATTGGTTCTCGTCCGAGCGACAGCGATGAAAAGTTGAAAATGTTTCAACTTTCTGGGATCGCGTCGCTGGGTCGCCTGTGCACGACACGTGCACGAGCGCAAAATTTCACACGCATGTTTTTCGCGTTTCGCTTGGTAGGAGGGAGACCCGCGATCATCGCTTTGTCGCGCATGTCTCATTGAAAATGAATGGAGGAGAGGCGATGTCGCCTCCCGTGTGTCGAGCCCATAAAGCTTTCCTGCTGATTCATGCTGCAGTCACATTGTCTCTGCAGAGTTTCTTCTGTGCTCTATCCTCTAAACATTAGACAGAATGGAGCCTTTGAACCTGTCAATCTTTTAAGGTCCATTATATATTCCAGAAATGCTATTCATAAGGTCTGGAATTACGCAATACTTCCTAAAATATGAAAAACAAACAATTTATACGACCTGTAAGTAAATAAAAAGATAAATTTTTTTGTACTGAAATACTTTAAATTATTGTTAAAATGATAATAAAACATATTTACTATGCTTTATTGTCCTCCGTATGCGTAACACTTCATCTGAATATGACTTCAGTTGTAAACGTCTATATGTCCAGGTGTTGTTTTGTTTACTTGCATGATTGATAAGAATCACACATCTGATTTGCTTTGAGAGTAAAATAAAAAATAACTGTAAAGATCACCTGCACACACACACGCACGCACGCACACACACACGTACACAATAATTATCAGAGTAATTAGCTTTCTCAGCCATTCCAAGTCTTCATCAGTTCTTAGTGAGCATTAGCTTTTTCACCCGAGGCACATTTCCCCACAAAGCTGCCTGATTAGTGTTTATTCTTCCAGATTGCATTACCGCTCAGACTTTTTTTCCCACAGACTTTGAGGACTTCAGGCTCAGCAACAAGAAGATTACGGCAAATCCCCCAAATTATTCCTGAGAAATGTAGTGCATGTATTTGTGGCAGGCCAGTGGTGTCTGTGACCATTTAAAAACTAATTAAACCAAAATAGTGGCTGAAAAATTTAAGTTGACTATTGTATTATTCTGAAATTATGCTTGTTGTTTGTTTGCCTAAATTTAGATGGATTAAAGTCAGTAGACTTGACACTGGTGATGTTTTAGACTGTGAAAATGTTGCTAAATTAAATGTTTCTAAACAAAAAACGAGGTAATGCATATTCACTGCCATCTTTCTTTCCAACATTTTTAACTAAGATCATCTATTGTTGACAAACAATGATCATTTTATGACTACTACAACAAAACACTTAAGCTGAGTATCTGTCTGAGATGAAGAAGTTTTTAGGGTCAGGTAGTGGTGGCCATCTTTATCTGGATAATTTACTAGATCATTTATTTGGGTTTCCTTAAAGAGTAAGTTGTCCCCAACCCCAGAGTCTTACTCCACCCACATTTATAGCTTGAAAGATGCCTAGCGAACCGAGAGGGCTGCGCTGCGGCAGTGACACGGCTTCTTTGTCTCGGAGCAGTCGTTTGAGGGGGGGGGGGGGGGGATTTGTCTCCACCTCTTTTACTGGAGGAAAGAGAGAAAAGGGAGGAATGCAAGTGACCCTGATTCGTATAATTTTGAACCAATGGCTCGTGAGTTAGTCAAGGCGACGTAAACACTTGTTTGCTATTCCAACTCCAACCTGCTACGAAGGTGTAGCTACTCTTATAGCCCACAGCGGCAGTGCAGCCTTATTACATGGTAGCGGCTAACGCAACATACGACCGCTTAACAAA